TATTTACATTTAATAAATGACCTGTCGACACCTATTTTCTCTGCCCTCCAGAGTTTCTTGATCTTTTCCCAAATGGTTGCATTGCCTACATACAGATGGTGAATTTTCCCCGGCTCCGAAGCGTCGTGCAAAGCCTTGCAAATCTGTTCCTCTTTCACCCCTGGTTGGGACCAAATGGTATTAATTTTCTTCTTCCCATATTTAGTGAAGTCGATCTTCATAAGCCCCGACGTTCTGGTCTTCCAAATCACTTGTCGTCGCTTATCGTTAATGATCTCCTCACATTCCTCCATGTCGGTAGGCCTTTCATCCACCGAGCTCTCTTCTCCTCTCGATTCCTCTGTTCTCGCATCCCCGGGTTCCCCTTCACCTTCCGGTGTCCATGCTCTCAAAAACTGCCTCACGTCCCGCGACGACTCCCCTTCTTCCTCCTCAATGGCATTTATCATTACGGCTCTGGACAGCCAGTCCGCTACTATATTCTCCTTGCCTGGCTTATACCTGACCTCCATGTTATATTGACTTAGGAACTGCTTCCATCGCGTGACCCTTGCCGATGATTCCTTCAGGTTGCCCACCCACTGCAACGGTTTGTGATCGGTATGCACTTTAAACTTCCGACCAAAAATATACGGTCTAAAATGGCCGACCGCCCATACTATTCCCAAGAGTTCCCTTTCCAGGGCGCTATACCTTGTTTCCGCTTCTGTGAGTCGCCGACTCGCATACGCTATTGGCTGTTCCCCGTCCGTTCCTTCCTGCGCAAGTACTGCTCCCAACGCATACTCACTTGCGTCAGTGGTGATAATAAAACCCTTGTTAAAATCGGGAAAAGCAAGTACCGGCTTTTCTTGCAATCTTGCCACGCACTTCCGCACGTTGTTCTCTATCGCTGGTGTTATTGCGATCTTCCGGCCTTTCTTTAGGAGATTATTAAGAGGTGCTAGATATTCCGCCATCTCCGGGACAAACCGACGATAATAATTCAACGTCCCCAATAATCTCCGGATCCCCTTGACATCTCTGGGCATCGCCATCTTTTGTATCGCCTCTACCTTCTGCTTATCAGGCTTGATCCCTTCCCTCGAAATCGAATGTCCCAGAAAATTGATCTCATCCTGCCCCAGAATCGACTTTTCAGCAGACAATTTTAACCCCAACTGCTTCACTCTGTCAAATACGCGGCGCAAATGATCAATGAGTTCCGTTTCATTTTTACTGAAGACCAGGAGATCATCCATATATACCTGGCAGAATGCTTCATCCAGTCCCCTCAAAAATTCGTCCATAAACCTCTGGAAGGTTATAGGAGCGTTTTTCAACCCGAACGGCATGCGAGTAAACTCATAATGCCCCCTTTCGAATGAAAAAGCTGTCTTATGTTGATCCCTGGGATGCATACGTATCTGGTGATAACCTGCCTTTAGATCGAGAGTGCTGAAGATTGTGGCTCCGCTCAGTCTGTCAATGATGTCCTCAAATCGTGGGAGCGGGTATTTCTCATCCAAGGTATTGTCGTTGAGCTTCCTGAAGTCTACCACTACCCTATACTTCTCCTCCCCTGTCGTGGTCTTCTTCTTCACTGCCCATAGGGGACTGTTGTACGGTGACGTGCTATCCACGATTATGCCTTGCTTCTTCAAGCTCTCTATCTCATCCTTGATGTGTCTCCGTAGCGCTTGCGGATAACGTCGTTCCTTAACGTATGTCACTTTCTCCTGTTTTAAAGGAATTTCATGGACCGTTTTCCCTGTCGCAGTCAACACTTCCCCGTCTTTAAAAAAAATATCCGCGTACTCCCTCTTTATCCTCTGTACCCAATGTTCCGCTTGTTCTATTGCCCCGACATTCCCTGTCCCGTCCACCCTCAATCGCTTACACCGATACTTCTTCCCTCCCATTCGAACAACCCAACCTGTACTCCTGTAATCTATCCTCGGCCTTACCTTACTTAATAAGTCACACCCTATTATGCCTCCGTACTCTCTCGGCATATTCTCCACCACATGAACCCTCAATTTCCCGATTCCGGCCACCCATCGATCCAGATCTAATTCTACCTCCCCCTCGACTCTACAAGGACCACCCAAAGTATTCAACTTACACTTACAATTTTTTATTTCTGGTATCCTCTCTCCTTTACACAATTCCTCCAGCATCTTTTTACATAATATTGTACTAGATCTACCAAACACTTCCCCCTCCCCACAACACTTATAATTGGCAAACCAACGCACTCACCTCCAATATTATTGACTACCGTGTGGCTGCCTCTCCTCTGCTCCTCTCCTCATTCGTCTGATCTTCCTCTCCTGTCCGCAACGGCTCCTCCTTCTCCACTTCTCCTGCTACTTCTTCCTCCTCGAGCTCTTCTTATCTCCGTCTCCTCTTCCTCGGTTCCCGATGTCCCTGATGACTCATCTGACTCCGATACTGCTCCTCTCTTTCTCCACAATCTCTGGGCGTTCACTTCCATTGGTTCATCCCGGCCCACGTCTCCCCGTCTACTCATATACGGGCATTGTCTGGCAATGTGTCCCTCGGTTCCGCATTCGAAACACTTGGTTCACGGGCTATTCGCCACTAGGTGGCCTATCTTTCCGCACCCGTGACATCTCCTGTCTTCCTTTGTCCATTTCTTCCTTTCTTTGTCTGGCTTTCTCTCTCTCATTGCCGGCCTTTCTCTTGTACTAACCTCTCCTCCTCTTTTCTTCCACCCCTCCTGTCTTGCTTTGAACCTCCCGGTTTCCGCCCTCCTATACGAAACCCTGTTCCATCTATACTCGTTCCCTTCATCCCCACGGGCTGCTTCTTCATCCCGAGCACTTGCATCTATCATCTCTTGAGCACACTCCACAAAGCTCTTGTCCCTCGGTAGTCCATCCTTCTTTCCAGTATCTTTCCCTAACTGAACTTTAAGGATGGTTGACAAAAATGCCATCCTGGCTCCCGTTTCCACCGCATCAGCCACTTCCCTCGTCTTCTCTGTTACGTGGTTAAATCGTGCCAACAGATTTGCAGCATATTGCCCGTTGGTCTGATGAGGCTGTTTGATCTGCAAGATGTCCTCCTCGGGCGCCCATCGCCCTCCTCCAAACGCCTTCTTCGGCCGATCCTTCACAACATTCCATGGAGTGTCTTCATCCGCCTGAATCATATTCAGCACGCTCCTCTTAAGCCGGCATACCAGGGCTGCCCTTAATGCATTGGCGTCCATCGGGTCTATCAGATTTTCCTCCGCCTTAGCCAATATACGCGATATCACCCGATCGCCACCTTTTAGGAAGTGATTCAACTCACCTACTCCTCCATCGAATCTTTCGAAGTCGGATATCGCTCTCCTAAGATCCTGCGACGTCGCCGTTCTCACCTTCAACCACTCTAACGTAGTTGCATGTGCTGATGCCAACGTTTCCGTAGGTAGTGGAGGAAAATCCCTCGCTAACGCCTCTGACAGCGGAGGGAACGCCGGCGGTGGAGCCAACGGTGCTGCTGGTGGTGCCGTCGGCGGTGTCGCCTGTGCTACCTGCTGTGCTACCTGTTGTGCGGTGGATGCTGGTGGTTGCCCTATTCCGTTCGGCATCCTTCCTCTTTTTTATTTCTTGTGACGTTAATAACAACAACGAAAAGAAAGAGAAAAAAAAAAAACTACTTCCCCGACTGAATCTAAACGTCCCGGGTTTCGGCACCACTTACGTCAGTTCGAACAAGAAATAATAAAAAAAAGGGAAACAGGATCCGAAATGAAGCACGTGGTTACTCAAAGAATACTGACTTTATTGCCTTAGTAGTGCCATATATATAGTATTACACTTTGTTTACACTTCATAAATAGGATTAACTTAGGATTAACTGTTATACTGTCTTACCTCTAACCATAACTTATATATATATATATATATATATATATATATATATTATAGGTATAGAAGACAAAAAAACTTTTAATATAATAAGGGAAAAGACTCCAATCAAGTTATTGCGTATAGATTAACGCAGACTGTTTTAATGCACTCGAAATAACAGAAATCTGATATTTTCCGCAGTGAAAATTTGTTATTTGTGGATTTGTTTTTAAATTTTGTCTTGTTTAAACAATAAATTTGTAATCACTAAAGCCCTTAAAATTTAAATTTTAATGAAATAATACATATTATACTATAAAAATTTAAAAAAAAAAATAAAGTTGAGCAGATTTGCAACTCGAATTAAATGCAAAATCGTTATTAACAAATAAAGAATTTTGAGTTTCACGGAAACTACACAATGAATTTAAGAATATGAAATCCACGTATGTTTCAGAAAACTATCCGAAAATTGCATTTAGGTTCCTCTGTGCGACTTTTGAACCAACATTGCAAGTCTTCATCCGGTTACCACTTGATTGATCATTATAATAGTAACGTATTTGTTATTTAACATTAGTAACATTCACTGATATTCCATAACCTAATATTGAAATTTAAAATAATGATTTCTATCAAAAATGGCTTATTTTTATACAATCCTTGGAAATTTTAACTACTTTGGTCTGAACTATATATTGAATTTACGTTAATGTACGGAGAAAATATTAAAATTATATCAACTTGATTCTTTCATTATTTTTATTTTTCAATATTTTTATCTTTGAATTTCTTTATTTTTAAACTAAAAAGTCTTTTGAAATAAATTATTATAAAACAGCAGACCCTGATGAGCTTTGTCTTAAACTCTTGAATCCCATAGAACATAGAGCGATACAAAATTCCGCCTTGTATTTAAAAGAGCATATTTTGCGTTGACAAAGACAATAGAACAATATTGACCAATAATAAAACTTCCACCTGCACAAACAATATAAAGTAACACCAGCACATCTGCTTAAACAATTCCCTATTTGTCTCTATCAGCTCATTGTTTTTTCTCAATCTCCTTTGTTCTGGCTTCAACCTGGCAGCAGCATCCTCGATTAGACAATTAACATGGAGATCTGCCAAGGGTCCGGTTGAGGAACGACAATGTTCCTGTACGGGACGCCAGGTGCTCTTCTTGCCCTGACAAAAGGATCCACGCTGGGAAATCCTCTTCATTATCTCCGGACGCCCACGTTCCCAGGACAATATCGGAACGGCGGGTAGGGTACAATATTGACACAATGTCGGAAGGGCAGGACACCACGTGCCTCACCAGTGCCGCCGTCGGTGGTTCCAGGGGGGTCTGGCTATGAAAGCACTGACTAGGCGGTTAGGACGAGTCACAACTAGGCACTAATAGATAAACAATGGAGTCACAGTTCAATGTTGTCATACACTTCATTGTCAGAGCCAAGTATATTGGGAATTGAGACCAGTACTCATTGTACTGATCATTTTGAATCAGTAATCTACTATAGGAGAGGACCAAAGGAACAATCAATCGGTGAAAATCATCTAAATAATTTGTTTCAGTTCACTGAAACTGATCCAATCTTATAAATAATTTCTTAGTTTTATTATGTATTTCTATATATATATTCTTCCTAAACAAATGTAGGGAAACTTCTTATACATGCTGGAATGGAAAAAATAATGTAATTGAAATAAAAATATCTGGTGTGTCCACTCACACTACTTTCCTACTTATTTCAGAAATGTTTTTATATCTTTACATATGTTCACGAAGAACTACATTTATTTTCCTCAAAATTGATCAAAGAAAAGATTTGAGTACGATTTATTTGATAAACTAAAGCAGTGTAAAACGGCTTAAGCTAGATCAGTGTAAACATTTCATTACTCTCTAATATTGCTGAACAAAAACTTTTTGCCATAGTTTTTGCCATAGTCAAACAATAAGTTCTGCTAAAAGTAGAGGCAATAGTGAAGCTTGTGTGATGCGGGCAACAGATTTTCTTACTTTCATTTAGCCATCTTTTTTCTCTCATTCACCCCTTTCTGACAACAGAATATGAAACCGTGATCTTACAATGGAAATTGAATAGCTGTAACTTCGTTAATATTTGTCCAAAATGAACGATTTTTATATAGTTTTGTAGAGAATTTTATTAAGTTTCAAAAAAAGGCTGAACGACTAAAAATGTATTTTTCGAGACACACGGGTCCCTGAAACGTATAGATTCGTCGAAAGCCGTATATCAGAAATTTGACCCAATTGCTATACTTTCCTTACCTAGTATAGGTAGGAAAGTAATAAATTAAAACCTGTGTAAAAAATAGAATAACCTGTATCGTCGCTAATACTGGTTCGATTCCGATCATTTTTTTCTGTTTTGTTGTAGTTTAATTACCATTCAAAAGTTTTATTATAAATTTTACCTTATAATATATACTTAGAGAGTTAAGCCCCATAACATTTTTCTTTTCTTTATAACTTTTTTTCCTGAATTTTCTCGGGAATTTAGTCCGTATACAAAAATTGAAATGACAATTATTAGAACATTATAGAAAAGTTTCATTAAAATCGTTAGAGCCGTTTTCGTGCAACAGTCTATAGAAAAACACGTTTTTCATTTATATGCGCATAGAGCACCTAATTTCTGTCACAGGCATCAATAGTCAAAACACTACAAAATAAAAAATAGAAGCAGTAGTTTCCAAGAAAATCTTGGCACAGACAGACAGACAGACCAATGACTAAAAATGTGTTTTTCGGACTCATGGGGCTTTGAAACGTATAGATCCATCGAAAACCGTATAACGGAAATTTGACCCGATTGCTGTACTTCCCTTACCTAGTAGAGGTAGGAAAGTAAAAAAATAGCAATTAGAAACTAAAATTTGGTCCCCATTTATATGCTTTATAACTGATTGCTACGTACATTTTATTCACAAACAACAAATAATTGGTTTCAAAATATATTTAATTATGGTGAGGCATCTTTACTGACTTTATTTGGAAAATGTTTATTTCTTCTCTATTATAGTTTTGATTGTTTCATACTAGCCAAAAAAAAAAAAAAAAAAACCGAATTCAGAATTGATATCCTTCCAATTCCGCCTACGACCCACTTTTAAACATTCGCCACATGGCATTTTGCAAAAAAAAACTGGTTTAAATCCGTCTGGTAGTTTTACTAACTTAGCTGTTACAAATGAATTCAGACTGTCCTTTTCTATAATAGTATGATATGCATTGTATAGTTAAAAACCATTAAAAACTATTTTTTTAGTAATGAATATCTACGATGAAACACAAACACAATAAAACTACATATTGAAAATTAATTTATTATTTTATTGTTAACAGCGTTAGAATGCAATATATGGTCTATTATAAAATTGATCTTATAATCATGCTTACAGGGTTCTTCCATCGCTTAAATACTCTTTTAATGTTCCTCTTTTAGTGTTCTTCCAAAATTTTAAATACTAAATAGTTATTTAGAAGGGATGTATTTTTCAATATTTTCCAAAAAACACAAGGTACTATAATAATATATAATCTTGTTTATTTTGTCCTGATGGTGCCTGAATTGGCGAAACGTTTGCAGGTTAGCTATTCGCCTGCACGATAGAGACCCATGACTTTATAATTTGGATTTTTCCATTTATAAAATAGTTTTAATATTATATTTGCACAAAAAATACTGAAAAAGTAAGTTTTCCACAAACAAACGATGAACACACCGATGAAAAGTATTAGTGTGTATATCAATAGTATGTAAGCATTTCGTGACCAATAATGATTCTGAATAATAACAACAAAATCGCGCTAAGCTTCCCCAACTTTTTAAATTTTCTTACATTCAATATTTTTCCACTTCCTTGAGTTTCTCTGTGTCGAAAAATTCATGGTATTTTCCGAGTATTCAAAATACTCTTTCCATACTTACAATATAAAAAAATGGATATGTTCCTTGACGACTAATTAGAAATTTAATCACCTGGGAAATAACGGTCCTTTAATAATACTATTAACTATGCAATCACAAAGATCGTAAATATCTTATTCGGATCTTGTAGTACTTAAGAATCATTTAATTGCATCTTTTATATATTTTCTTTGGACGGTAGCATGATGTCAGGAGCTGCCCCGAAGGTTGCTCCCTCGCAAGCACGACCCGCTGCTACACCTTACCATAATATCCTCCATTATGGGCTATTAGCTGGATTCTCAGCTCTTGGAGAAGGATTTATTCCAACTCCTGTTGTGGAGGAAACTATCCGATAATGAGATGCAATTGGTCTGAGATATTCCGTGCTCTTGGATGTCCCTTTCCTGGCGCCTACACACACTTCACAATTCTCAGCATTTAAATAATTCCCTCATGAAAGGTCAGTTATGCAGTGGCTTCCCAAGAACCGCTCGCTCATGAGGATTCCTTGGAGTCGCTGGTTTCCTGCATGCCGTCTTGTGGTGGATATTTATTATAGTAAGTCCAAGCGTAATAATTCAGTGCAATAAATGGTTTAAGTTAAATAAAATTTTCAACGACTAGGTTCAAAGGTAATTTCAGCGTGGTCACGCTACTCTTACAAGCGCAGGTGTTCATACTTAAGAAATATCTGAGATATAAACTTAAAAATCATGGTTGATTCTCCTGATGTTTTTCAAGAACCAATAGAGACAAATATTTTGTTTTTCAGTAAAATAATTACTGAAATAATTATATTTCTATCGCTTACAGCATATTATACAAGACATAAATATATTCTTAGTTGATCAATAGATCTGTGAATTTATATCATATATCAATATCAACCTGTGACAATATACAACAAGCCAGTTCCCTCAAAAACTCATGTACGATATCTCGGACTATATTTGTACAAAAAACGCAGCTGGACTACACCAAACACAAACAAAAAAAAATTAAAAAAACAGAATCCATATGGTGTGACCAAACTATACTAACAATTGTCACACCTTTTGGACTACAGATCACCTCTCAACCTACAAAACAAGCGACTAAGTGAACTTTGGGGTTATGCAAAACATGTCCACATAAACAAAATACAAACTGCACAATTAAAAATACTTCGAAAAATCGTAAATGTTCCCTGGTATATTTCATATCACACCGTATATAGCGATATGAACATTCCACCAGTAAAAACCTTTTATACATTACAAATATTAATATACAAATATTTGATACATTACAAATACACCACATTCCACACTTCAACTATTAATCACCCTAATCCACTTGTCCTCTCTCTTTCTTACTCTCTGTTACCAGGGATGCCACAAAGAAGACTAAAGCGGCAGTGGTCTCGGGATCTGCTCACAATTTAAATAAACTTCAATAAATAGCAGACTGAACGACAGCACATTTCCAAGATGTGTTCAAACGCTGTTGAAAATATAATATGAAATGAAATAAATAATAATAGATAAAAATGACTGTACTAGGACATATAGCAGAATTTAATTGTAAATATAATTATTTTACCTCTCTCCTAGTTTATTCTAATCTTTTAAGCTAATTTTAAATTTAAAATATTTTCAGTATCAAAATAACCGCGTAGAAAAACATCCCACGGTTGGCAGATGCGGAAATTCTAGTGAAAATTCTTTGGGAATTCCTCTCGGGTAAATCCGATGGACTCACTGACCAACAGTAATAGTGGCCCTCTAGGCTCGCTGGAGGTCATGGATCTTTCTAAAGTAAAACTCATTACCGGAAAGAAAACTAGTCCCACTTACGGGCCACCCGGAGACTGCTTTAGTGATTTCATAGCGCAAGTTGAAAAATAGAAATTCAAGCATAGAGATGTGGAATGTACGGATTTTGAATACAGCATCATACATTTTGGGTTAAAATTGTTCGCCAACGAGCTTAAAAAGTACAATTTAAATTAAAATTTGTATTGCTTCCTTAGTACCCAAGACAGGGAAGCTTTGTATTCGAGTGGGATGTTAAAAAAGACTTTTTTCTCAGCATCAAAAATTTTCACTTTCGTTTTACGTTTCAGACATCAAGGATCAAATTTAGTTCAGTGTCTGTCTGTAGTCAAATCGATGAGACGAGCATATCATCTGCTATCGTTTATCCGATTTTAATACATTTTTCCAAGATTGTGCGGGTTGGTGTTTAGATGGCCCCATATCAATTTCATCAAATTCCGCATAGAACTTCCAGTTAAGGACGCTCAAATTTATTTTCTTAGACAAAGCAATATTTCCGAAAGGGCTAGATTGATGTAGCTCAAATTTCAAAGAAATGTGGGAATTATTGAAGTAATGAAGCGGTAGCGATTTTATTAAATTCTGTATCGTACTTCCGGTTGCGTACGTGAATAAATATTTTCTTTGATGTGCAGATATTTCAGAAACGGCTCATTCGATTCAAAGGCTCAAAGGTTGAAGAAAGGTGATATTTAGTGAAAGTAGTAATAGTAGTTGTAAACCTTGAGATATAGATAAGTGTGGAACCAATGAAAACGGTGAGGAAGCTATAACGGCCTTTTTTTTTATAATTACTTTTTTGAATTTGATTAAATTCTGTCTCAACTAAGGACATTAGTAATAGTGATACAGGACTCCATTTACACCATATGTACGATAAATTAAAAATATATATATATATATATATATATATATATATATATATATATATATATATATATATATATATAAAAGTAACTTTTTGATTATTATTTAATTTATTTTTTACATATAATATGAATGTGATCCTACCTCACTATAACTAATGTCCAAGTGACAAAATCTTGTAATAATCAATAAATAAATAGTTTAAAAAAAATAAAATCACATTCAATGGAACTCCAAGCTAATCCTTCTCTGAGCCCCCATGTGAAGGGAAAAGCAAGACTCTAGGAGATCCCAACGCTTCTCTCTCAGCCACGGCCCTGGTGTTAATGTCCAGTGGAGGCGGAGAGCGGATTCATATTTTATTCCTTCATATTATTAGAATGATCTTTTTAATTTAATTTTAAATATTATGTTCCTGATTATCAAGTGATCATTAATAAAAATGATTATTAACATATCAATTCCTGATATGTTAAATATTATCAAGTATTATGTTCCTGTTTGATTCTTATACCCAAAATTACACCCAATCATCCCTCTTTGAACTAACCTGTATTCCATAGTCACTTTTTGGACATTTACTGTGTATTTTTCTTTTACATCTTTTTGATTCAATAATACATAGTTTAGTCTTATTAAATTATATTACTATAATTGATATTTGGTATTTTAAATTCATTTTAATATTTGAAATATAATACTAATTCTTTTGTTTTCGGACATTATTTTAACAATTATCAAATAATCTGAAAATTGTAAGAAATAAACATCAAGTAAATAAAAAAGTGTCGCTGAAGTAATTAAAAAAAAAATAATGCCAATTAATTCTCAAGAATATTCTTTTTTACCAGTAACCTTATTTCATCAATGCAATTAACTCGCTGCACTTAAGAATAAATATTTATTTCAAATCATCAACAATCACTTTGTTACATTTATGAACCGATTTAGATTTCTTTTGTAAATATTAATAATAAAAAATAAATACATTTTATCTGATATACAGATAAGTGACGTAGCCAATGTGAAGTAGTCGAAAACATTTAAACATTTTATTTATTTTGTATTAAATGCGAATCGAGATAAAATAGTTATCGAAAGGAAATCATTCTACTGAAGAGGAAAAATGGGAACCTACAAAGTGTATAGGCGAACTATGTGCCAACCAACGCTGAATGACGTCGTTATTTCACTATATAATTTATCTACTAACTGTGATCATTTTATGATACCAACAATTGACATCTGTTTTCGGTATTTGAGTATCATAGCAAATTATTTAGGCTGATTTATTATTTAAGCAAGCATTTATAGAAATTGAAAACAAATATTTTATAGAACCAAGTACTTGAAAGCAGGGTTGTCAGGACAGTTTTATAATATTTCGCATAATCCACCAATTTTAACCAAAAACATTCTTAGTTTACAATACTAATCGTCCGAATGGAATATGATAATGTTATCTAAAAACTTTTTATCAATTTAATATGACTTAAGTTATTTATGCTCATTGAAAAATCAGTCATATTAATGATAAAAATCAAGCATAAAACTGAAGACAAATTTTATCCATTCACTAGACCAGATTTTCACCACTACCCGCTCTATCTAGTAATAGTAATTGTAAAAGCTAATAATTGCGAGTTTTTTTTCCCCCCGTCCCTAGTTTCATACATTGTTTCGTTTCTTACATATGTTTAACATGTTCCTTGTGCTGTATCTTAGATAGATTTTAAGGTCTTGATGAGCCTTTCTTGGTTCTGTTTATCTTTATTTCTTGACTTTAAATCTGGGTGATGGGGCTCACCTCTATCTTGATAATTTTCTTAGGACTAACTAATAATAGTTACAATATACAATATAATATTGTATAACTAGCTATTAGCTATTATACTACAATATAAAATATAATATAACAGCTAATAGCTAGTTACAAAATACGAGAAGGACCATAAAAAAAAAAAGAAGACTAAATAACAGTGAAAATTAGTAATAAAAAAGCTTTATTTAATCTTATTTTACAAATATTTTTAATTCAAATAAATATTAGTTATTTTATTAAAGAATATTTTCCTTTATTATTTTATTTCATATTCATCTTCCCTTGCCTCTCGGTAATACAGATTTTTGGTAGAAGTAGTTGATACTTCTACCACTTATCTTCTAGTTCTTCGGTCTTCGTTAGCGGAGGAAATCGGCACTCCTCCCCCACCTAATTCCTTTCACCCAACCGCGAATGGTTCATCATACTACGGGTACTTATGCTTACTTACTAATTGAGAGAAATCGTCCTCCGTGTCCCGGTGGCGATATAGATGTCCGGTTTCCCTCAGTAGTTTGGCTCTTATTGCTTCAAAAGCGGTACAAGTCGTGACGGTATGCTCAGCAGTTTCCAAAACACCACAACAGGGACATAGGGGGTTAATTTCTTTTCCAAAGCTATGAACCTCGGCGTGAAAACTTCCATGTCCTGTCAGGAACTGCGACACCTAATAACCAGGGAGGACCCATTTCGCTTCCAAATTTGAATAGACGGTAGGAAAGTATTAAGATTTTCCTGAATGAATAGAGCAAAAAACTTTACCTAGACCCAGAATGAAGTTTTTCCTATCTATCTTAACTTCAATAACCTTGTATAGATTTGCTTAAATAGATCTAAAGAATGGGAAACA